GCGGCCCCGCAGGCAGCCCCACTGGGACAGCAGCTGTGCCGTCCGCTCCTGGATCCCTGCGGGGCACGAGAGGGACGAGGGTCAGCCTGGGGTGCTGCGAGGGACCCGGTACCCCGACACAGCCCCGAACAGGGACGTGGCCCCACCGGGATGCCCCGTGTGTGGAGATGTGCTGCCGTGCGTGCACACCTGCCTGTGGGGCCGTGCCTGCCCCCCCATGCCGTACCTCTGGCAGCTGCATCGGAGTTTGCTGCCTGCATGCTGGCCAGCAGCTCGCTGCCCTGCGCCTGGATGGTCTCCAGGGCCACCCCCAGCTTCTCCAGCTCGCCCAGGGCCAGGCTGTTCTCGCGGATCTGCTCCCGAAGGTGGGCCGCGTCGCCGCGGACGGAGGGCTGGCTCTGCAGGCGGCTCTGCAGCCGCTCCAGGCATTCCAGCAGCAAGTCCATACGCTCGGTCAGCTGGGGAAGGTGTGGGGGGACCAGCCCGGTCACTTGAGGGGAAGCCCCAGGGGACACCAGCCCCACAGTGCCGGCCCCGTACCTGGCTGTAACGCGGCAGAGCATCCTCCAGCAGGGCAGCCGCCTGGCGCACGCGTTCGCGGATGCGGCCATACTGCTCCTCTGCCTCCTGCCAGCGCTGCTGGAATGGGGCACCCTGCTCCGGGCTCAGCTCCACCAACTGTGCTGAGACACGCTGCAGCTTCCCCATCAGGGGACGGTGCTCTGCGATGGCCTCCCGCAGGCACTGAGGGCAGAGGAAAGGCCGTGGGCACGCGTGGGGCCAGGTCAGGGCACGTGGGGATGTGCCCTCGTGCACCCCAGCACTGCCCTGGCTCTGCTCCCAGCGCACGGTACTCCTGCGTGTTGGGTGCCCCAGCGCAGCAGTCCCTGCAGCGGTGCCACCTCCATCCCATCACAGACCGCAGGCTGCACCGCCGCCTCTCTGCTCCCGACCCCGCATGTCCCTGCCTTCACCTTCTCCTTCCCCGTGCCCTGGCTGGGGCCACCCTGCCCTCACCTGCAGCAACGCCTGCTGTTCCTTGAAGGCCTCGTAGCTGATGGCGTTGGGGGAAAGCTGCACCCCGACGACCTGCGTCTCCTCCAGCCAGGGTGACAGCTCCTCGTGGGCCTCGGAGAACTGGGCGAGCAGGGACTGGGCGTGCTCCAGCTGCACGGCGCAGGCTCCGCTGCGCAGGAAGAGCTGCTCCGTGCGCTCCCGCAGTGCCTGCACTGAGGGCTGTGGAGACAGGCGGCTCACTGGGGCGCTGGGGACACAGGGCACGGCCGTCCCCTGGTGCAAGCGGGCCCTGCCGTGGCAGCATCCCACCCAGCACCCACCGGTGCAGCCCCAGCACGGCCGCTCACCTGGAGGTGCTGCTGCAGGGGCTCGGGGCAGGAGCGGAGCAGCGGGTCCGAGATCCCCAGCAGACGCTCCACCAGTCCCCGGTGGTGCAGGATCTCAGCGGAGAGCAGCTGGAAGACAGAGGCGTGTGGGTGCCAGGTCCTGCAGAGACGTCGGCAGGTCCACGCATGTGTGACTCAGGGGTCAGTGCAGGAGCCCACCGGAGTGGGAACACAAAGCCAGTGTCCCCGGGGAATTCTGGGCACCCCTTTGGGGTGTGGGTACCAGTGGTCAGTGCTGCAGACCCACCTTCTGATCGGAGAGTTGTGAGCGGAGGGCCTGGGCATCCAGCTGCACCCGGCCGATCTCCTCCAGCCGCTCACCGAGCCCAGCCAAGCGGGTGAGCTGGGAGTCCAGGATCTGCTCAAACTGCAGGGGAGAGGAGAGACGTCAGCCGTGCTGGCAGGGAGGACATGTGCACTGGGGCGGCCTCGCCGGGACAAAGACCCCCCCATGCATCTGCTGCTGGTTAGCGTGGGACCTTCTGCCATAATCTGGTGTATCCCATCCAGCCATGTCCCTCCAGACCCAACTCCCCTGTGCCTCCTGCAGGCAGCAATGCTGTGGGGCCGGGGAGCGGTGAAGGGGGCAGAGGGTGATGGTCCCCAGAGCCCCATGTCCTGCACCTTTTCCCTGTCGCTTGTGCTGACCGGGGGCTCCTGGCCGCCGTGCTGGCTGTCCCAGGAGGCCAGCTCCTTCTCCATGCGGCCCAGCCAAAGCGCCAGGTCCTCCTGGGCAGTGCCCAGGCGGGACGAGGCCTCCAGGGTCTGCCCCAGCCGGTGCATGGTGTCGGCGCTGCTCTGGCCCACGATGAGATACCGCATCCTCAGGGACTCCATCTTTTCCTGTGCCAGCTGGGCCTCCTCCCCTGCGGCAGCACCGTGGCTGGCATCAGTGCCGCTGCAGCCACTGTCCCCGGGGCTGGGGACCGGCTGCACCGACGCCTTCCCTTCCCCATGATGGTCACTCTATCCCGATCTTCCCCTGCGCCTGCTCCTCCTCTGCTTCTCCTGGACCCGGCTCTGGCCCCTCATCCCCATCGCAGGCAAAATTCAACTCCCCGACTGTCCTCCTCTGCCAGTGCACCCCATCCCACCATGCCCCTGACCCCCATGGGCCAGGGTCTCCCCTGGCCCCTCTCCATCCGATGGTATGCTGTGTGCCCCATCAGGCGATGCCATGCCCCCACAGCCACCAGTGGGGAGCGGAGCACCCCGAGGACACCCAGCACCTGGGGGTCCCCTCGCCAGGCTGGGCTGCTCCCTCGCCAGGACGTGCCTTGGTGCTGGCACAGCCCAGGGCAGCAATCATTCCCTCCCACATCCTGTGGTCCCTACCCTGCAGCCGCCACCTCCAGCCAACCCCGCTTGCCTGTGACCATCTCCAGGACCCGCTGCCCGCTCTCCAGGGTGCCGTCCAGCTCTCCCAGCCGGCCGCGAATCTCCTCGCAAAGGGCCTGGGGCGAGAGGCTCCCATGGCAGCGACTGCTGCGGATGCCGCTCCCCCCCTCCCCGCCGCACCCCCGGGGGGCCCCCCCCCCCCCCCCCCCACCCCCAGCCCCCCATGGCCCCGCTCACAGCTCCCCCCACCTCACTGTGCCCCACTTGCCCAGCTGACCCATGCCACGGCGGGTGCCCGAGCCCACCCCACACCCAAGCCCGGCTCCGACCTGGGTTTGCCGGTGGGCGTCCTGCACGCGGCTGACGCAGCCGTTGGCGCGCCAGAGCTGGGCCAGCTGCCGCTCCGTGGCACCGAGCCACTCCTGGAAGGAGTCCACAGCCTCCTGGAAGTCCTGTGCCGCTGGCAGGATCCGCTCCAGGCAGCCGTACCTGCGCCGGGAAGGCTGGGTGAGCCAGTGAGGGCAACAGCTTCCAGCCTTGCGGGTGCAAGACAGAGATCCTGGCTGGAAAAGCCTCCTCTCCCCCTGCCACCAGGGCTGGGTGCCCAGTTCCCACATCTGGGATGCCCCTGCCCTGCGCTCCCCACCCCAAATCTTCCCACCCTGAATGCGAGGGGTGAGGCGAGGCCAGCATCCCCCACCCAGCCCCGGTGGCACCAGGAGCATCCCGAGGACAGGCTGCAGGTGTCCTGGGCTGAGGGTCCCGCTTCATCCCAGCGAGGGCTGGGGACACGGGGACGCAGGATAAGGCAGCCCCTGCCAGGCTGTGCCAGCTCCAGCCCGGTTCCATGACCCTGTCTGCTGCAGGGCAGGACCCCCCTGCCCCGGCATCACCCTGCCAACCAGGCTGGGTGCTGGCATGGCCACACTGGGGCATCTGGCCACGCTGCTCCGCTCCAGGCCCAGGAGCACCGCAGCGAGCTCCCCTGTCGCTTGCGGCAAAGGGCTGGCTCTCACCCCGGTGCTCCGGGGCCTCGTGCCGGACCAGCTGCAAAGCCACAGACCCGCTGACCCCGGGGCTGGGAAAGAGGATTGAGATGTGCCGAGAGCCTGGCCCAAAGCAGAGTCCTCGCCTGCCGCTCTGCGCGGTGCATGCCGGAACCACACCGGACCGAGCCCCTCACTTGCCAGCGGCGGGGAGGGCCGGGCAGTGCAGCGAGGCGATGGTGCATCCCCGGCTGGCAGAGCCCCGAGGGGCTGCAGGGACCAACCCTGCACGGCTGGAGGCGGTGCGGTCTGCGGGGCATGGTGCAGCCCCAGCGTGTGGGATGAGGATGAGGATGGGGACGGTCCCTTTGCCGGGGCAGCCCCAGCACGAGAGGGGCAGAGCACACTGCTGCTGCATGGAGGGATGGCTGGGGGGGGGTCACGGCACCGCAGCTGGCTGCTGGCTGTCGAGACAGCCTGTGTAGGCAGGGATGGGGCTGTCGACCCCGCTGAGGAAGGTCTCAGCCCTGACCCACCTGGCTTCAGCCTCCTCCATCAGCTTGCCCCACTTCTCCCCGAGGCCAGAGAGGCTGCCGCTCCCCTCGGACACCAGCGTGCCAGAGCCGTGTGCCGGTGGCACGGGTCTGTCCTGCAGGACGAGCTCCACCCGTGGCCTCCGCTCCTCCAGCAGCCGCTTCAGGAGCTGCAAGGCAACAGGGCATGGTGCTGTGCCGGGGATCCCCCCTCCCTCCCGCATCATCTCAGCACAGCCCGGCGCCGCGGGCAGACAGCCGGCAGCCCCAGAACGGCCGCTCTGCCCCCGGCCCCCTAATCCCCGGCTGGAGAGCGGTGTGGGTGGGACGCGCCAGCCCGGATCTGCTGACCTTCTGCTCCTCCAGCTGGGCCTTCGCCACCTTCACCTCTGCCGAGGGCGGCTTCTGGTTGCTCACCAGCTCCTCCATGTCCGCCACCCAGGCCAGCAGGCTCTCCAGCGTGTCCTGGGCTCGCTCTGTGCCCGCCGCCTCCTCCAGGACAGGGACAGCCCGCAGGGACACCTGGGGAGAGAGGTGGCTGAGCCGCCCGGGCGGGCGGAGGGCAGCCGTGGGGCAGCCATGGGGCTGGAGTGAACCCCTCCATGCCACCATGCCCTGTCGGGGAGGCGATGCCAGGGGACCGAGGGACCTGGCCCTGCCCAGGTCCCCCCTCGTATCCCCTTCTCGCCACATCGGCAGGGCTGTGCTGAGACGGGCTCTCTACAGACCAATGCTCCTCCTCAGGGCCAAAGGACTGGGCGCTGCCCACGGGGCTCCCCAAAGCAGGGGCTGCGCACCCCAGGCACGCCCCTGCCATGCGGACCCCCTCCGGACACGCAGCCCCCACCAGCTGCAGCAGAGGGGAGGGAGTCAGCCTCAACCTCCAGCACCCAGCTGGGTGCCCAGTGCCGACCCAAAGCGCTGGGGTGGTGGGGGGTGCCGCCGGCCCTGCCCGCACAAGGGCACCGTGGGCCGTGCACACCGGCCAGCGCGTGGGGCGCAGACCCCCATGGCGCAGGAGAGCCCCACACGAGCCCCAGCCAAGGGAGACAAAGGCTAAGACTCGCTTGCGGAGACAAGTGTGCCGGCAGAGCAGCCGGTGCAGCATCTTCAGTGGCGAGGGTCCCTGCCCGGCAGTCACCTCTGTGGCATCCGTCTGTCCGGAGCGGCCACCGGCTGCCAGCTCCCCGGCGCGCTCCGTCAGCACCGTGACCGTCCGGGTGACCAGGGGCTCCCCGCCCTTCTCGCCGGCCGGGTACTCGGTCACCTCCACAATCTCCGTCACGATGGTCTCGGTCACCTCTGTCACCTCCGTCACCTCCCGGGTGGTGACAGGTTTCCAGGACCAGGCACTCCGGGGGGCGCTGGCCCGGGGGGGTGTCCAGGCTGCGCCCCCCGCCTGCCCCTGCCCCTTCAGCGGGACGCAGGCTGTGCTCCCGTTCTGCACCGCCACCTCCGACTGGCTGCGCTTCAGCACGGGGCTGCCCGGCCGGCTCCGGCCGGCACTGGGTACTGGGCTCCAGCCGTTCTCCACCGGTGCCGGCGGCTTCTCCAGCGGCCCCGGCCAGGCCTCCGCGATGCTTCTGCCGGGCGACTGCCCCGCGTCCAGCCCCAGGTCCCGGAGCTGCGGCTCCCGGAGGAGCTCCTCCGACCGCCGGCTCTTCTCGCCCAGGCAGCTGGGCCGGCTCACCGAGTTCCCCATGGCACAGGCACGGGCGCCGGGCCCCCGCCTCAAATCCTGGCCTGAAACAAGCCAGGAGGACGCGCGTTATCGGAGCCACCGCAAGGCTGCACGGCGCCCGGACCCCGTCCTGCACCCAGGGGCACCCTCTCCCACCCCCGCTCCCAGCTGCGCCTCTGCCCTGGGCAGCTGCAGGTGCTGCCCAAATTCCTGCACGGGCTTTGGGGGGGTCCCATCCCCACCCCCACCCCGAGCAAAGGGCTGCTGAGAGCTGGGGCCCTGGGGACAGGCGCTGGCCGTCACCTAGGACCAAGTGGAGGGAGGGGACCCCGAGGGATCCGCGGCGTTGCCACCCCTCGTCTGGCAGCGTGTGGGGCGCGGGTCCCTGCACGGCAGGAGCGCGTCTCCGTAACAGACATGTAAATGATGGGTACCGGGAGGCAGCGCAGGGCGCCCAGCAGACAGGCAGATGCTCCCGACCAGCATCGCTTTGTGCCATTAGATTAACTCGGAGGCCAGCGGAGCCGGGAGAAAAGAGCCATCTGTCTGCTGGGCCTGACAAAGGCGGCCTGGGGATCTGCTGGGGGGAGCGGGGCTGGGGGCCATCCGTCTGGGAGCACCCACCCGGCAGGCAGGCAGGCAGGCAGGGGGGCCGGCAGGCTCCCCACCCTGCCGCAGCCATAAATCCCCCGCGCCACCCGGCAGGACCCTCCCACGCCAGCGCCCTGCCAGAGCCCTGCCGCAGCCGCACCGCTGCCTGCGCCCCGACCCACTGCTGCCTGCACCCCGACCCACCGCTCAGACCCCGCACCCAGGTGTGCACACCCCTGTGCACGTGTGCACACACAGACTCCCACAGGTGCACACACACCTGTCTGCACCCACCCACACCGGGTTGGTGCACCGACATCCCCCTGCCCCCAGGCTGGGGCTCTGCGTGTTTGTGTACCGCCGCACCCCACTGACCCCTCTGCTCACACCCCTCCAGCTGGGCATTCCACCCCCGGTGTGGGCCTGGGTGCTGCGTGCACCCACCAAAGGGCCGCGCAGTGTGCATGGTGCACACACGCTCCACACATGTGCACACGCTGCAGCGGGACTGCACACACACACACCATGCTTCACACACGCACCCCCAATCTGCTGTGCCGCACACGTGCCGCTGCCACACACCCAGCAACAGGCAGAGACCCCCGCACCACCGCACGCCTGCATCAACAGGGTGACACGCGATGTGCAAACATGCCCATGTCAGCTGCGTGCACATGCAACAGGAGCGCACCGGGGCCAGCCTGCTCCAAGCGTCCGCGCGTCTGCAGCGGCTGTTGCACCCCGGGGCACACACTCCCGCGTGGAAGCGTGCACGCACCAAGCCCCCCGCACACACGCCGCAGCACACGCCACGGGCAGTCCTCGTGCACGGGGTCACCGTGCACACTCACACGCGCCTGCAGCTCACGGCAGGGCCCTGACACGCACACACAGCATCACTCAGCCCCAGCAGCATCCCCGTCACCCCCCCCCCCATCACTCAACCTGCGTGGACAGGCTCCCACGGGGCAGCATGGGTGGAGGGCCACGCTAGGGCCACCGGGCCGGTGAGGCGAAGGGTGATTTGGGCAGACCCCACACCACACGCTCCGGGGGCATCACCGGCCTCCCCCCCTGCTCCCCTATCCCCCCCCACCCTGGCAGCCAGCTCCGGCCGCGGGGACACGGCGCAGCTGCCCCCGGACACGCTGCCCCCGTGGCGGGCAGGCAGGCAGGCAGCAGCCAGGGTACCCTGCCTGCAGCC